TCGGCTAGACATGGTCTCACCTGCCTCTATATATGTGCGAGTCTCACTTTTCCCCTCAAAGGCTCTTTGGAATAAAAATACGAGACTCCACATAGCTAACATGGTATTAAAGCCAACGTCTAGTCTAAACTCAATGGGGTTCTGTTAAGGTGGCACATCAGCTTATAGACACTGTCCATCTGTCTCTATATCTATGTTTGAGTCCAAAATCAAGGACACCACATAACTAAGACATACATACATGTCAGGGACACCTTGCAAAATTTGAATGACGCGATGGGTTGTCTCTATACATCGGTTCTCTTCTTAGGAATCGTATACGCATCCTCGGTGCAGCCTGTGGTGGACATAGAACGAACTGTGTTTTATAGAGAACGAGCTGCTGGAATGTATTCTGCATTGCCATATGCTTTTGCTCAGGTAACTCGTATAACTTTAATGTATGGTCTTTTTTACCATTTGAGATCCTAACATTTTTTGCATGTTTTCATACATAGGTTGTTGTGGAAATCCCCTATATCTTTTCCCAAGCTGTGGTTTTCGGGCTTATAGTGTATGCAATGATTGGATTTGATTGGACGGTTGTAAAATTCTTTTGGTTCATGTTCATCATGTTCTGTTGCTTGCTCTACATGACATACTTCGGTATGATGTCGGTCGCAGTCACACCGAATACGGAGATCGCTTCCGTTGTTGCTGCTGCGTTTTATGGGCTCTGGAATCTCTTCTCTGGATACATCATCCCAGAACCTGTAAGGCTCTTTCCAGTTTTTTTTTTTTTTTTTTTCATTCGTTGTTTTGCTAAATGATGTTCAAAATATAAATGATCAGGGGATACTTGTAGGAAATTGGAGTTTAATGGAAAGCCTCAATCTCTTGAAGTTTTTTTTATTAGACCTAGCATCCACATCCAATACATTTTTTCCAGTTTTTTTTCCTTTCACTTGCGACTAGAACATTGACCTGTTTTTTCCTGACATCTTTTGTTGATCCTTATAGAGGTCTATGCCATATATATGGATGCTTATTCGTATTTTTACTCTTTTTCACAAAGAGCTTTTTTACTTTTAAATAGTGCTCTTTAATCAAGTCCGTTTTACTAGATTAAGTCTGTTTTATTTAGAATATTAAGTGAAAAAGAAACTTACATTTTATACACAAAACCACAAAAAAAATATCTATGATTTTCTGACAATGTATTTACTGTGTGTTGTAGAAAATTCCAGTGTGGTGGAGATGGTACTACTGGGCAGATCCGATGGCATGGACACAATACGGTCTGGTTGTTTCGCAGTTAGGGGACTTTGACAGCCTGCTCAACAATGGGGAGACAGTGAAGGAATACTTGCGTCATTATTATGGGTTCAAACACGACTTCATTGGTGTTGTGGCGGGTGTTCATGTGGGATTCGTGGTTATTTTTGCAGTTATATTTTCTTTTTGTATCAAGTCCTTCAATTTCCAAAAGAGATAGAACTCCATTGTCAAGGGAGAAATAATATTGTTTGAATAAAACGATTTATGATCGAGTTATCTGACATAAATCATTGATTACAGTTGATATCAATTGGTGTAAGATTGGTCAAACATTCTGAAATTCTACAATTCCCTTTTGTTTTGTATTTAAAGTGAAAAACGTTATGTGGAATTTGTTTTTTTCTAAATTATAAAACGGTTCATTTTTTAAATATAGTTTTGAGGTTTCGCTTAAAAATTCAAAATTTGCAAATAAATCTTAAATAACATAACTTCATTTTTTAAGATACATCATATTGGAATAGTATTGGAGAGAACATTATTGATAGATGAATGTTTTGTCTCTTAATTCGTGTGTATAGGAAACTATTTGAAACAATGTATGATTATGCATTTATGTATGGAGTATACGGTTAATCTTTAGGTATTTTAAGAAACTCAAATGATTGATTGAATTTGTGTAAATTTAAAGATTTATTGGGGAATTTTAAGTTTAATATGCTTGTAAAACTGCTCATCACGTTGTTTGGTTTCTACGTGCAATCCAACTCTTTTTTTAAAGTTAGGTATATAGATATTAGGCAGATATCCGTGCGTTTCGTAGAAAAAATAGAAATATGTTAGGTTTAGTATAAAAATATACAAAAATGTAATACCTTTTATAACATTAACCATATTTTTAATATCATATACTTGTCTATGTTTTACTATAAATTTTTATTTATGTCTAACATACACCGTCTAATTTATAATAAAATAGTAAAGTTTATGTAGATTTTTTTATAACGAAAATCGACCAAATAAATCGTTTCATTATATAGATTTTTACAAAAATATTTTGGAGACGTATTTTTTATTTATATTTATCGTTTTATAGATAATGATGATTGATGTATTAAATGGTAAGTGATTATTCTTTATTTTTTAGTAATTTATTACAATTATAATGTTATATCTTTTTTACCATCTAAATTAGAAATATTAAATGTGTCTAAATAATTTATAATAAAATAGTAAAGTTTATGTAGATTTTTTTATAACGAAAAATCGACCAAATAAATCGTTTCATTATATAGATTTTTTACAAAAGTATTTTTGAGACGTGTATTTTATTTATATGTATCGTTTTATAGATAATGATGATTGATGTATTAAACGGTAAGTGTATTCTTTATTTTTTAGTAATTTATTACAATTATAATGCTATATCTTTTTTACCATCTAAATTAGAAATATTAAATGGGTCTAAATATTAAATTATTAGTGTTTCGTTAATTACATCTCAAATATTTGGTTTAGAACTATCATTTGAGTCTATTTATTGAGAATTTTTTTTATGAAGTTGAATTGTGTATCTACATAGTTCTTCAAGGTTTAAATTAATAAAGGAAACTAAAGTTCTTATATATAAATGAAATTAATAAAATAGTATAACATAAATAGAACTTATCGTTGCTAAAGTTATTTCAAACACATGGAAAATTATAACATATTAAAACTGAATATTGTACGATAATTATTTTGAGACATATAACTTATATTGTAAAACTTTCTATCTATCACATGTTTTCAAATATTTTATGTAAGTCAAATGTATATAACAAGTTACTTAAATTTAATAAAGTAATTGATTGATTAAAGAAGTACAAAATTGTAGAAAAACAAATTCTTCACGGTATTCGTTTTATGATATTTTTATTACATCTCATAAACAACATTCTAATATACATAGATTTACAATATAACTCTTAAGAATACTATATGTACAGTATAAAATAAAAATACTCTAAAATAGAGTTTTTTTCTTATACATTTTGGCATATTCCAAAATTGCATCTACCTCTTCCTCATTCAATATAGAATTTTATGTTTTGTCAAGTCATTTTTTCTTCCATCTTGTTCTCCAAACTCTATCAACCTCATATA